CAATCATCTACATACCAGGAAGAACTAACTATTTAGCTGATGCCCTCTCCCGCATTTATGAGAACCAACAAGTCGAGAACCCGCCCTATGTCTATGACCACACCAGATCTGACGACGACCTATCTGACTCCACCACATTCGAGCAAGAACTCAACACCATGGAGTAAACGAAACCTATCTCCCCTACCCCTACCCCCCCTCCGGACTCCTACACGGAGTATTATGCTAAGGGACGAGACAGCCCTGGTGATATAGTGGCTGGAAACGACTGGGGCGACACCTGCACCCTCCAACGGACCCCCTCGCCAGACCGGAAGCATGCAGCGATCCATTATTCTCAGTGTTACTGTGATCATTGTCCTTACCATCAGACCGAAATTAAGTTTGTCAATAACCACCCCAAATCTCGAAGCCAAACCAGCAAGCAGTCTGGATCCACCAACTACGGCTCTGCCTGCGGTGAAGAGCAAACAAAAGGGATCCTAAACCTCACAGATAAGCTATCGCCGCCCCCGGCTACCTTACTTGAACCAGAGGCACAGGCACCTGTTGACATCCAGCATTTAGAAGCAGCTGCAACCCTCTACCCTCCGCCGACCGAATACCCATCAAGCCCACCCCCGGTGGCCCGACCCCTCTACAGTGACACACTTGGCTGTTACAATACCGAAACCCTCATCTCTGTCATGCCCCCTACCCATGACCATTTCCGCCGCGATCTATACCAATCCTTCGATGAAGAGAACTTAGGACAGGAGGAAGGTGAGGGACCTAGCCGTGGAGAACTCATAGAGGAAGAAAGGGATGTGCGGTCAGCTATGGATGACCTGAAGGGAACCTTTCGAGCCCAGATGATCAAGGCCTACCGTTGCGGCCCCCTCTACCACAAAGTTCTTGACAGTGGAAGGACCGGAGACCTTAAACTCTATGAAATCTCGGATGGAATGATATATGTCCCTACCCAATATGGCAACAAAGCCCTCTACATCCCCGATGGCCACCTAGTGAATAGAAAGACACTTCGGGAATACCTGATCAGCAAAATCCATGACAAAGGCCATGCTAGCGCTGACCGGAACCTCCATTATGCTTCAGAATATCTGTACTAGCCGGAAATGCGTAATGATTTCAGACATTATGCGAAGACCTGTGAAGAATGCCAAAGGAATAAGGAACCTACTACCCTACCGGAAGGATATGCCCGGACGCTGAAGCTACCTGCTGACGTATTTGAGTCATATGCTATAGATTTCGCAGGACCCTTCAACAAATCTGGTGGATATGATACTATCCTAGTTGCACTGGACCGTTTCTCTGGATTTACCTGGCTCATACCCACCCTTGCATCGTCAACAGCCCAAGATACTTGGGATCTACTACGGCGAAATGTCTTTACTCCTCATGGCCACCCCCTCTCAATCGTTACTGATGCAGACCCTAAGTTCACATCGAAGTTCTGGAGGCAAACCTTAACCTCGATGGGGATAGAGCACATCTTAGCCGCACCAGGCCACCACCAAACGAATGGCCAAGTGGAGCGAAAGATTAGGGAAGTCAAGACAGGCCTCCGGAACATAATCAACAAGCGACAAAACAACTGAGAACCAGCCCTTCCGGAAGCAGCAGCATACATCAACACAATGTACTCTAGTACTATTGACACGGCCCCTTACAAAGCCATATATGGACGAAACTACCCCCTCTTACCCCGCATCTTATTCAAGGACTCTGCAGTACCGGCGTCTGACAACCACCTCAATCAACACGAAGCCCTCCGGAATGATGCCTATCAGGCACTAAGAACCGCCCGATTCCGAAACACAACAAAGGCACAAAAGAAACGGAGATTACATCATGCCATACCCCCGGGTGCCATAGTCATGATACATGGAAACCTGTTTAGTCCTGAAACTGGCAGAAGCAAGAAACTCCAACCCCGCTGGCGAGGTCCTTTCAAAGTGCTGGAATTCGACAGCAATACCGAGAACTACACCATCAAGCTAGAAGGACGGATGTACCAGCGTGGCAAAGCAGTGGTTCATTCAACTACAGTTAAGAGATGGCACCCAAATGACGATAGCAGATTCCCGGGACGCAGCCACTCCCGGCCAGCCCCGCTACTTATCCACAACCAGGAGGAATGGGAAGTGGAAGAGATACTTGACCATAGAAAGCGCTATGGAACCGATCAGTTCCTGATCAAATGGAAAGGTTATCCAGACTCGGAGAATAGCTGGGAGCCAGTGGAAGGAATCGAGAATGCGATGACCCTTGTGCATGAGTGGTGGGAAGCCAACATGCCCGGAGAACGACTACCCCCCACCATCAACCATATAACGATAGCTTGGTCACCTACCTTACCCACCACACAACGAATACCCGAAGACCCTCCTACCAGACCGGATTTCTGGGCTCCCTATGACGCAAACGAGTTTGAAAGCAGCAGTGACGAAGACCAAGCGATGGCAGATGTTATAGACACCTTTATCTAATGGCATGCTCTCTATCCGAATACCTTAAAGATGGAAAACTATGAGGAACTGAATGTGAGGCTACGCCATCAGCTTGTGGGACTGTTGGTGGACCGCGGTGCTATCCTACTTGAAAACTACTTTGATACCCTTTTGGTTGATTACTGCCCGAATTGCGAAGACCTACTGGTGGAAGTATGGGAAAGAGCGGCAGGTATCCGCGATTACTGTGATTTTTATTTCCTTTATTCCAATTGTTTTTTGCAATTGCGGACATGTGTGTTTTGTATTGGTGATGGAGATTAGGCGCTCGCTGATGAGGAATATGGCGAGGATTTTTATGAGGATTTTGATTTTCGAGATTATTGATTTGTTTAAGTAAACAGATGTTTTGTTTTGGGGAATGTAACCGGAACTGGAGTTCAGTCCGTTCGGTTCAAGGATTTGTTTTATGTTTTGTTTTACTTGT